GCAGCAGCAGCAGCAGTGCTAGTAGTCTTCATGTTGCAGGAAGACTTGTTGTCAACATTCTGAGTCCGTGCATCCTTGCTGGTGCTGTTATTATGTTCCGCACAAACCCGCAGCCTCGAACATGAACCAATTAAGGCATTGGGGCGGGCAGGCCTCGTAGAACGGCTTCCCAAAACCTTCATTCAAATGATACAAAAGATGGAGACCACGACAATGACCTTATCCTCATCCAAAACCTGACCCAAATAACAACAGGATACCAGTCGGGGGTCCTGAAATCGATCATGCAGAGAATTCAGAATTTGTGTGAGGGTCGAGGCGTGGGTTGTTGTTCGGTTGTCCCAGGTCCTAGATCCGTAATCCCAAGGCGCAAACTTCAGGTGAGCAGTTCCCTAAACTAGGGCCCATGTTGAGGGTCCTTCTTGTAAACGTGCCCCACTATTTTGAGACCCCCGCCAGCCTGAAATTTGGCAAAGTACCCAAGTAGCTGCAGCAGCCTGTAAAGTCAGAACCCTAAACAATGAACCCCATAAGCCGTAAACCCTGAAGCCTAAATCCGAAACCCTGACGTGCACAGGCTTGGAGCTCAGAGTGATTGTGCTGCCAAAATCCGAAACCCTGAACCCTAAACCCTTAAACCCTGTCCGAGAAACCCCAAGTCTGCCTTTTCACAGAGCCCGGCTGGCACAAGTGCCTCAAAACCCTTAGGTTTTTGTTTTCAGGAGTTAAGGATTCTTCAGGTCGGTTTAGGGTGGTTTACGGTTTAGGGTTTACGTTCGGGTGACAGAAGCCTGCTGCAAAAGGGTTCCGCACAGTTGATGAATGACTTAACACGAACATCTTCAAGACAAGCGCTTGCAAGAACAAGGTTGAAATGATGGTGACAGTGAATGCCATCAAGGCCTTCACGCCCTCGCACGACTGGGATGAGGGTTTTGTTGTGCTTAGAGGTTTGGAGTTGGGTTTGGAGATTTAGAGGTCCCCAAACCCTAAACCCCCCTAAACCCTAAACCATAAGCCCTAAACCATAAACCCTGGCTTGTCCGAGTTGTGAGAGTGTAAACCATGAACCCTAAACCCCTGAACCCTAAAACCCCAAGCTTGAGACGCAGGGGCCCCATGGCTAGGTGGTTCGAGGCAGCTGAGGCAAGGCTGCTTCCAGCAGGAACCCAAAAGTTGAACATGTATTCTATATATATATATATATATATATATATACACACATATAGTGTATGTATACTGGGCCGAAGTAATTACCTCTGTTATTTTGGCGGGCTCCTTATCATACTTATGGTATAATACACCCCCCAAAAACACTATTCTAATTATTAAGGCCCCTGCGTTACGCACAGGCGAGGCCCTTGTGGTGTTCTGGCAGAAAGCAAAGAGACAGCAGCCCGCATGTGCTGGGCAAGAGTGACGAGTCATCCACACTTCATATATGCTAGCACGATCCGTTAGCATTGTCGTCCTTACATCCATGACTAGGAATCGAAGGAACTCAGCCCTAGGCCGGACCCGCACTGTGATTTGAACTATTCTCCCGAGGACTTGTGTTTTAAACTTCGCCTGGCCAACACGAAGATGACACTTAAGCCGCGTGCAGAGGAGGGCTTTTACACAGTCCTGCACTTCAAAGTTGAACTTGGCTGGCGGGTTGAGAAGCGAAGGATCAAGCTTTGCTGAACCCCTTGCAAGAAGTTGGGCTGTTGTGATTTGGTGGGCACTGTCTGGAATCATCATGCTTGACGTCTACAGTCCGACGGCTTAATTAAGACTCTCCAGACATGCTTTAAGGGCTTCCAGATGCCAAGAGCTCGGGAAGTTACTTCTGTGGGTTCTGGAGCTAGCCATGCCAAGAGACGAAGTCGAGTGCCCCTGTCTGCGGTTTGGCTCAATCTGTCCTAAGGGTTTTAGTCGAGGTTGTTTGGCTGCCCTCTGGCAGCATCTTCTATGTCGTAGAATCCGTGGAACCCCCGTGCGCTCTACTCGGAGACATGGCCGCGACACCGTGGCAAGTGGGTGATAGGGTGACCATTGCGCAGACGCAGCCGCTCTTCTACCGAGGAGACCTGCATTTGGACTAGGATTTAGGATTTACAGGGCTTAGTGTTTAGGGTTTAGGGCTTGGAGCTTAAGTGCGAAGCCTGTTGCAAAAGGGCTTGGAGCTTAATTAAAGGGGCGTTTGGAGCGCTTTTGTTGGTGACGGAGTCAGAATCCTGAATGGAACCTTCATCCCTACTTGAACCCAAGGGCTAGTATCTTGGGCCTCAGCATCAAACATAAAGGCTGATACGACGGTATGAGTATAGTGGGAACTCTTCGGACTAGTAATGGCAGTTATTTCGGCTTTTACACTAGACCCCGCAAAATCTCTTGCAAACCCTGAACCAGGTAGCCATGAAATTGTAGGAGCTTCCAGGAACAAAACACGCAGGCCTCTCTAAACTCTCAACCTGGTTCCCTTTAAATGGTCCCTTCAATCCCCGAAGCCCTTCAAACAAACACGTGGGTTGTTGCGTCGAGGTAGTCATGGTTTGTGTGCCCTTTCCATCCCCACATGTTAGCAGTCAAGGGTACCTGGGGTGCAGCTCGCTCAATTTTACGAGGTTCACAGGACGGAAGCACGCCGTAAACTCCAATTCGAACTCTTCAGCCAAGGTTGTAGAGGTGCCAAGGTCACCTTTCTGTCTCATCTGTCTCAGACATGTGTCTGCGCATGCCCACGGGGACTTGAACAACCAGTAGTGCTATGTCTGGCTCCCTTTTTCCCGGCATGAAACTCTCACAAATCCTAGTCTAATGAATGCAGGCCTCAAATAGCCTATGTTACACTTCTTATAGCCTATGTTACACTTCTTATAGTCTATGTTACACTTCTTCTTCCGATGGTTTTAGCTCTTGGAGCAAATCGGACACTCAACTCCGAAGTTAACAGATGCTCACCGGTTCGAAGCTTAGGAGGAGTTCATACAGCACAGGTCTAGAGTCTACAACCCTAAAACACACCGTCGGAAGTATAAGCGCTGCTGGTGCGAACTTGATCCATCATGCAGTCTGTCGAAACCGTAGCTGAGAAGATGGAGGCGAAGCTCGTCTCGGCGGGAAGGCATGCCTTGAGAGCAGGAAATTCAGGCATGGGGACCTGACATTCATGCTTTTTACAACCCGACATGTAACTACCAATGATCCTCCAGGCATTCCCGAAGGCCCTAAGCGCCCAAACCTGCATAAACCACTCCTCCCTGAACCCTTGAACCCCCGAAAACCCTAAACCCCCCCAAAACAACGTGAAACCTACGCCGAGGCTTTGTGGCACCATCAAGTTCATCGGTGTCACAGAGTTTGCTGGCGGCGATCCTCGGGAAATATTAGGGCTGTAGGGGATTGGGTTTAGGGTTTAGGGTTCAGGGTTCGGAGTTTAGGGTTCAGGCTTATGGGTTCAGGGTTTAGGGTTTAGGGTTTTAATGTTTAGGGTTCAGGCTTGCGGATCCCTAAGTCCTAAACCCTAGACTTTGTAAGCTGTTGAGTTTCGAGTGTTTAGGATCTGCGTCCACGGGGCTCTGAAAGCCGTAAGGCTTTCTGCGAGTCGCGAGGATGTCTACACTCTACACTCTGCTCACGGCTTGTTTTACGAAGCTTTTAGGAATTTGGGCATCAGCTGAGGCCGGATGTTTCGTAAGTGTTTCATGATAAAGTCTCTATTCGGCTTTTGGTCTGTGCATATGCCCGTTCTTTAGGAAGATTGGGGGGGGGTGTAAATTCCGGGTGTTACTACTGGTGAAATAGCAGTGAGAGCCCTACTTCCTGTACTGACCGGAGTTTGGCGCCAGGCTCCGGGTGCACAAGAGAAGTTCAGGGATTAGGGTTTAGTTGTTGGGGTTTAGGGTTTAGGGGTTTAGGGTTTAATTTTAGGTTTTAGGGTGGATGCAGTGATGAGAGCTCAACCTCCGTAGGCTCAGACAGTCAGGCGATTTGCACAAGTTTCAGGGTGGATGTTTCATTTCGAGGCATAGTGTTCATCTTAGGGTTTAGGGTTTAGGGTTTAGGGTATCGTATGGGTTCTCATCGGGTCAAATGTCCAGAGAGTGTAGGGTGTCTTGTGGCACTGATAGAGAGCTCCGCTTGAGATGCAGAAGCCTCAGGATGGTTCCTCTTATATAAACTTAAACTATGAAAAGTCTGTTTCGGTGGAGTAGATTGATGCCAAACCCCAACCCCAACCACACATGCCCCCGGAACCTTGAAATCCATACATTTATATCCGAAATCCTAAGCCAGCACAAGCACAAGCTGCCCCGAGGCTTTGCACATGTTGCGCACGACTCTCAAAAAAGAATGGTTCACGAAAAGCTGAAACCTAAGTATACAAGCTAGCTTGCAACCACAAGCTGCCAGCCTTTGCTAAACCCTAAACCCTAAACCCTAAACCCTAAACCCTAAACCCTAACTTCAATCTTCAACCCATACACCCCTCGACTGAAGGACCACAAAGCCCAAAAAACAAGCCACACATGTCACAAAGCCCCTGACATGTAGGACGTAAGCTTCAGGAATGGATGGGCATCGAACTGGACGAGAAGGCTAGACGGCCCTGGATACAGCAGTTTGGGAACCTAATGATTAGAATAGTTTTGTGGGTTACATATGATTTAAGTAAGGGGGGCTAGATTTACAAGGGATACTCTTACCACTTCTTCCCACCCATATTTCCTGTATTGCTTCGGCTTCGGGCTACGACGTTCGGAATTGAAGCCGCATCTTGCTACCTACACACCCTCCCCCGAGACCGTACTACCTGCAATCTTTTGAGCCTGAAGACTTGGGACTCGAAACCGACTCCCGTGGAGTCATGAACACAACCTGAAAGCCCCCTGGTGATTCTGCTGCATGTCTGAAACATACACATTGTTTCTTTGAGGTTCATGTGTTTCAAGTCTAGGGTTTGCAGGCTAAGGGTTTTTATTTTGCGTTTCGGGTTTTGCAGTTCAGCATGTATGGGTTTAGGGTGTTGTGGCTTGGGGCTTGGAACATCGGGATTAAGGTGCGGGGAGAGGTTACATGGTCAGAGTATTGGGAAATTCAGACTTAGAATGAGAATAGCGTACCCTCATACCGATCCCCAGAGATTTGAATCCCGACATCCTAGTCTTTAGGGTTGGAGAAATGAGAAACTCAGAGTATAAGGTACCCTACTGTTGATGATATAAATCCTGCATTGCCTTAAGGACTAAAGTCTGGGAATTATGGTATATTCCTTTTAGGGTTTAGGGTTTTAGGAGTTAGGATTTAGGGTTTAGGGTGCAGGATGTATATCATCAACCGTAGTATCGAATTCTTCAAGTTGGATCATCACCATACGGACACCCCGCCCCCCGTTCAAAAACAAAATGAGACTCCCGCCGAACGTCAAGACACAGCCGCACAATATATCGGGGGGTCGGAATCTATAGGTACCAGGTAGTAGTAAATGGTAAGAGTTTATTCTCTAGCTTGTTCAGTGCGCTTCAACAGCTCTTTTCCAAGAGCGCAGAGTTTTCGAGCACAAAGTTTTGGCGCCGAAGATACTCGCAGCCCCGATGCCCAAGTCCCAAATCCCCAAACCCCGTATCTCCATCCACAAATCGGGTCTGAAGCTTGCAGTCATTTTTCGGGCTTCGCTACCAGAGATAACATAGCCTAAACCCCAAACCTTAAACCTTAAACCCAACTTCCCTCAAACCCTAGATGTTGGATTTCGGAACCCAATCCCCTAAATCCTAAACCGTGGTTTCGGATTCGAGGGTCCAATTCCTCGGAACAGGTAAGCCTTATACTCGCTTCCGGGGTGTAGAGTGTAGGGCTTTTGGGGTTTTAGGGTTCAGGGGTTCATCCTGAGTGATCGGTTTAGGGGTTGCCTTAACAAACCAGGGCCTACTGCAGCGTTGCTTTGTGTTATAAAGCCCAATATATATATATATATATATATATAGAGTCAATTATAGGGACCCTACGTACAAAGAGTAGGTTTTGGTAGATTAAGGTAGGTTTGTGTTATGAAACCCAATATATATATATATATAGAGCTTATAGGAACCCTGCCAACAGTAGGTCTTGGGTAGAGTACGGTAGGTGTTACTGTGCTACCAACCGAAAGCCCTTGTACCGGGCCTGCACTGCTTCAGGCGGGCAAGAACAACGGCTGCGTCAAGGGCAAAGCCTACTTTGATGCTTGGAGCTGCAGATCCGAGACCCCTAAGAACCAGAATCGATCCCTAAACTGGGTTTTCCTACACCCAACCTTTATTAGGGTTTAGGGTTTAGGGTTTTTAAACTTGTTGGGTTCGTATAGCTTAAAAGTAATCTGAAAGCTTGACCTTTTGTTTCCTCGGCTTAGTTTGGACCCTAAGACCTGAACCTCCAAAGCCGCAACTCCAAAACTCTAAGCCCTCCAGTCCCACGCACCTATAGACCCTAACCCCTAAACCCCTAAAACCCCTAAAACCCCTAAACCACCTCAACCCCTAAACCCCTAAAACCCCTAAACCCCTCAAGCCCTAAAACCCCTAAACCCTAAACCCCTAACCCCTAACCCCTAAAGCCCTCAATCCTAAACCCTAAACCCCTAAAGCCCTCAACCCTAAACCCTAAGCCCTAAAACCCCTAAACCCCTAAACCCTTAAAACCCCTAAAACCCCTAAACCCCTAAAAACCTAAACCCTAAACCCTCTACCCTCTACACTCTAAACCTAAACCCTAAACCCCTGAAGCCCTAAAACCCCTACACCGCTGAGGACTGTAAGCCGGACTACGGAATCTTCGTGAGGCCCACGGCCGTGGCGAGGATTCCTCCGAGCAGCAGAAGAAGGCGGTCCTTCAGTTTCGAGTTAGAGATTCGGGCTTCGAGCCCCTACCTTTGCAAAGCCATGGGTTTAGGGCTTAGGAGTTTAGGCCCGGGTGTTGAGAGGTTTCCCTGTTTTGGCTTTAGGGTTTTTTGAGGGTTTTAGGTTTTTTTTTTAGGGTTTGGGGTTTCCTTTTTTTGGCTTTAGGGTTTGGGGTTAAGTGTTTTTTGAGGGTTTTAGGGGTTGAGGGTTTGGGGTTAAGGGTTTTAGGGTTTTTTAGGGTTTAGTAGGGTTTAGGGGTTGAGGGTGCAGGGTTAAGGGCTTCAGCTTTGTGTTAAGGGATTCGGAGGTTTCATTCGTCGGCTGACAAGGTTTTATCCAAACCCCGAACCCTTCCACAGCACCCTGTGCCATGCAACTCTCGGTGCCGACCTTGACAGAGGTCTTGCAAGTCCAGCCTTATCCTTATCCGATTTTACTGCACTCCGGCCATTGCAATGTTTTCGTGATTTGGTTATTCTTAGCATGTTTAGTTACAGCTGCACCTCTTACGTCCTGCAACCGTTGTCACCAAAGTAAGTGACCAACAGTTCGCATGTATATTATGTGTATACATACACGTATACATGTATGTATATACATATATGTAATGTATATATATATATATATATGCATGCAGGGCTACAAGTACACCGAGTACACTGATGTACAAGTAGCATGTGAACTTCTAAGCTCTGAGCGGACGCGCGAGCTCCCAATTCTAGACCCTAAGCCCTAAACCCTGCCACAGTCTCGAACATACCCTGCAATGCGGCCTCGTACTTGCTAATCTTGCTAAGTGTGAGAGAAAAAGCCCCTAAACCCTAAACCCTAAAGCGGGCGAGCTCGGTGGCCATTCGGCGCCGTTCTTTCGGAAGAAGCGGCCTTCTCCCTGCGAGCATCCGATGATCGATTCACCCCGAAACCCCGAAAAAAACAACCAAAAGAGGTTTAGGGGTTTAGGGTTTTGGGTTTTAGGGATTAGGGGTTTAGGGTTTAGGGGTCCTATAAGCCTGTAAACCCCAACCCCCCTAAACCCTCAACACCTGAAGAAGCCTTGCCTGCATTTTTGCGAGTGTGAGAGTCGAAACCCCAAGCCTACGCCCCCCAAACCCATAAGCCCCTGACGCCCTAAACCCTTATAAGCTATAAACACCGCAGCAGCTAAACCCTTGTGAAAAAAAAGCCCTAAACACCTTCTTTTGCCTTCCTTAAGCCTTGAACCCTGAACCTTCATGCCTCGTCTTGAGACGCAAAACCCTAAAACCTACACCCTTTAAACCCCAAACCCTAAAACCTAAACCTCTAAACCCTAAACCCTAAACCCTAAACCCCTAAACCCCTATAAACCCTAAACCCCTAAACCCTAAACCCTAAACCCCAAGCCCTGCAGGTCTTCTGCAGTTCCGGATCCTACGCTGCAGCCGCCATCTGCGCCAGCCTCGCCCATCAAGCAAGCACTGCTTGGGCTGCCGTCGCCGTCGGCTCCCCGACGAAACTCTTAGGGCGTAGGGTTTAGGGTTTAGGGTTTAGGGTTTAGGTTGATCACGATGATTATGGGTGCAACAGATCTGAAGAAGATCACTCCGAGTCATTCAAAGCAAGTACCTGCAACCCTGCCTCGGGATTCCCTCAGCAATGCAGGAGACACAACCCAATTCAAGAACACATGTCTGAGACGCAGTCTCCAGTGCCGCTCTGTCTGACGCCGAGGCGGCAGCAGCCGCTAGACGAAGCAGCCTTCGAACCAGCAGGAGACCTTGTGAATCCTACGCTCAACGTTTTAGGGTTAAGGTATTAGAGTTTATAAATCCCGAAACCAAAAGCCCCGATCTCTTGACCCTAAAACCTTGCGGCGCTTCAGCCGCAAACCAGATCAAGTCGATACTAATACTCCGAGCCCCAAAGCCCTTAGCCCTAAAACCTTAAGCACCCCTAAACCCCCCCAAACCTGACAGCTCTAGTACCTTAAAGACTGACGAAACCCTAAACCCTAGACCTGAGACTTGAAACGCTATGCCATCCACGTGCCACAAAAAGCATGTGGAGGCTCTTGGGACTTAGTAAGTAGGGTTATAAGTAGCTTAAATATAGCTGTTATATCATTATATCTACTTAGAACCCCAATTACAGTACTTACCACAACCACCTGCTCTCCCTAAGCCCCTAAATCCTAAACCCCTAACCCCACTTACTAAGTCCCCTGATCCTCCAAGCAGGATCTAGAACTCCTAAACCCTAAACCTTAAACCCTAAACCCTGTAGTTTCCTTTAACAGGAGAGAGGAGGAAGGAGATCGGAGCCGAGAGATTCAAAAGGCGAGCGTGCAGCTGGAACTCGCTGAGGCGATGGAGGACCCTTTGAAGCTAGGGCTTAGAGGGTTTTGGGTTCTGGGTTTAGAAGTTAGGGCTTAGAGGGTTTAGGGCCTTGGGCTTTGAAGTTAGGGCTTAGAGGGTTTTGGGTTCTGGGTTTAGGGTTAGGGCTTAGAGGGTTTAGGGGGTTTTGGGTTTAGGGTAGGGCTTAGAGGGTTTTGGGTTTAGGGCTTAGAAGTTAGGGCTTAGAGGGTTTTGGATTTTGGGTTTAGAAGTTGGGGCTTAGAGGGTTTAGGGTTTAGGGTTTAGGGCTTTGAAGTTAGGGCTTAGAGGGCTTAGGGTTTAGGGCAAGGAAGTTAGGGCTGAGAGGTTTTGGGTTTAGGGTTTAGGGCTTTGAAGTCAGGGCTTAGAGGGCTTTGGGTTTTGGGTTTAGAAGTCAGGACTTACAGTTTTGGATTTAGGGTTCAGGGCTTGGGTTTAGAGTTTTGGGTTTAGAATTTTGGGTTAATGTAGCGGCCTAGATAATTACCTATATTATTGTGGTGGTTCCTTACTATAAGTACGGTATAATGGGCCCCCAAACCCTCTTATTTTTAAGGCCCCTATATTAGGGCACTTACAGGGTTTTGGATTTAGGGTTTAGGGTTTGGGTTTAGAGTTTTGGTTTTAGGATTTGGGTTTAGAGCTTTCGGCTTCGGGTTGAGGGGTTGGGTTGCATGGGCGCTGCCCGGCACCTCAGTCCGTGCTTAGAAGGGCTTAGAAAAGCAATGGAGGCTTAGAGAGGTCTAAGTTTTAGGGTTTTGGCTTTACTTAGGGTTTGGGCCGGCTCTGTAGGTTCTTACATGGTTTTAAGAGACTGTAGAGGGTATTGTAACTGTAGGATGTTAGGATTTATTAAACATCTTGGGCTTCATTGTTTGGATTTATGTGCTCCTGAAGCTTATAGGACCACGATGTGGATGCCATTCGCCGCATGCTGCCAGCTGCGCATAATCTGGGCATTGCACGAGAAGAGATCGCAGCAGCACAGCGGATATTGAGCTGGGAGCTCAAACAGAGTATGTGCCTCGGTCTTTGTTGGTACCATGTTGCATGTACTGTTGAGCCTGAGGCTTTGTGTTACTTGTGAGATTGACACAGAAGCCGACTTGATTTGAAGCCAAAAGGGCAAATTCCGAAGCCATTGAGCATGCCAAACCTAACCTAACCGAACCCAACTGTTCAACTTAACTTAAAGAAGGAAGCCTGAAGCACGTACTTCTGTGTGATTCTCAGAAAACCCCTACATCCCAAAACCCCTAGGAAACCTTCAAAACGGCCCTAAACCCCAGACAAGCCCGTCAAGCCCTGGAACCCCGAGGAACCAGAAACCCCACTTGGGGTACACACATTTCACCCCAAGCCCACCCCCTAAGCCCTAAACCCTAAACCCCTAAAGCCTAAACCAAAAACCCAAAACCCTAAAAACCCTAAAAACCCTAAACCCCTAAACCCTAAACCCTAAACCCCCTAAACCCCGAACCCCTAAAGCCTAAACCCTAAAACCCTAAACCCTAAACCCCTAAACCCTTAACCCCCTAAACCCCTAGACCCTAAACCCTAAACCCCTAGACCCTAAACCCCTAAACCCTAAACCTTAAACCCTAAACCCCCTAAAACCCTAATCCCTAAACCAAAACCCTTATCCGACGTGGCACCTGGAGGCAGATGGAAGTCAAGGCCGTAAGCAGGCCGGGGTTTCCGAAAATTAGGGGGGCACCTTATTTTGGGGGTCCTTATAATCGGGATCCTACTATTTGGGGTCCTTATCATAGGGATCCTGTATACTATTTGGGGTACTATATTAGGGTCCTTATAATAGGGATCCTGCTATTTGGGGCACTATATTAGGGTCCTTATAATAATAAGGATCCCACTATTTGGGGTCCTTATAATAGGGATCCTACTATTTGGGGCACTATATTAGGGTCCTTATAATAATAGGGATCCCACTATTTGGGGTCCTTATAATAGGGATCCTACTATTTGGGGTACTATATTAGGGTCCTTATAATAGGGATCCTACTATTTGGGGTACTATATTAGGGTCCTTATAATAATAGGGATCCCACTATTTGGGGTCCTTATAATAGGGATCCCACTATTTGGGGTCCTTATAATAGGGATCCTACTATTTGGGGTACTATATTAGGGTCCCCTAGTTTTGGGAACCCCCAGGTCTGTCTCGGAGCTGTCGGAGGCTGTGGGGCGCCTGGAGGCGGCTGCGTAGAGGTTTTGGGGGTTTGGGGGTCTAGGGGTTCAGGTTTTGGGGGTTTAGGGCTTCAGAGTCTCGGGGTTTAGGGATCTAGGGGTTCAGGTTTTGGGGGTTTAGGGCTTTGGAGTCTAGGCCTAGGAGTTGAGGGTCTAGGGTTCGGGTTTAGGGTTTAGGGCTTTCGAGTGTAGGGGTCGAGGGTCTCGGGGTTCGGGTTTAGGGTTTAGGGCTTTTCAGTCTAGGGGTTTAGGATCTAATTAGGGGTTCAGGTTTGGGATTTGGGGCTTGCGTGCAGGTTTTGGGGGTTTGGGGCATAGGATTGTAACACTTAGGTTGGGGGGTTTATGGGTTGTAATTGGGTTTAGCGTTCAGGGTTTAGGGTTGTGCGCCAGAGGCGGTTTCATCCACGCCTGCAAGTCCAGCTACCAGCTCAGCGGTGAGCCGTCTCGGAGAGGAGCTTCAGAAGAGAGCTCCTTGGCGTTGTTTTGCAGGGTTAGGGCATACCTCATGGAGTGGAGGCAGCGGTTCTATTGGATTTTTGAGTTCCGCCAAGGTATGGCAAAGTTTGGAGAGCAAGATCCATCAGATTGTGGACGGTGCTCTGTCGAGGGCTTCAACAAGAGCAGGCAAGACAGCTTCACATCCATTAGAGGCGTATGGATTCGAGCATTTCGATCTCAATGGCGACGGGATAGTCACCAGAGAAATCTTCGAAGAGGCTCGCAAGAAGATCATGGCAGGTCAGTTGCAGGAGCCGATGAAGGCCACTGCCAACTCCGAGCCCCCTTCCCTCTCAAGGCCCTCCTACCCCGAAGCTACAAAAAGTCTCTTGCGACACCTCTACTCTCGTGCTGCTCGAAGCCTGGAAAAGCTCGAGAACCACGACGCCACGCGCTTCGTGGTCGGGCGCTTGTTGAGCAGAGGCCTGCAGAGAGCGCTCACGCTCGGAGCCTTGGGTACAGTAGGCCATTAGGACACGGTTTTATGTGGCCTCTTCTTGGGTCTTAGACCGTACTTAAGATCCAAGGGCCAACCTAAACGCTGAACCCGAAACCTTGCAACATAATCCCAAACCCGAAACCCCGAAACCTCACAGCCTCAGCCAACCTGTCCTTCTAACCATGCGGACGGAGAAGAGGCTTAACAAAAATAACCTGAAACCTAACCCTCGCCTAGGACCTGCGTCGGATGCTTTGGCTGATGCAAAGCGAGACATCGCAGCCATTCGTGCGTCCAGGTTGCGGAGCCACGGATGGACAATGGCCATGAGGGCGTTCACTAAGCCCTAAACCTAGCTAGGTGGGAGGCACAAAGACCCGTATTAGGGCTTAAGCCTTGCTAGGTTAATGACAATGTACAGTGATTTTTGCTTCGGTGGAGCCCATGGGTTCGAGGTAGGCTTAGACCTCAAGCCGTTCGAGGGTTTAGGGCTTTACGGATTGGAAGCAGTCAGGGTGGACTTTGGAGCTCATGCTACAGCCCGGACTACTTGAAGGATAAGCCGACATGGGAAGTAGGATTCTAAGCAGTTGCCATAAGTTTCCTGGACCTTCAAGTGGGGGTTTCCGAAAATAGGGGACCCAAATATAGTACCCTAAATAATAGGATCCCTATTATAAGGACCCCAAAATAAGGTACCCTAATTTTCTGAAACTCCCAAAGAGTGACCCAGGATCGAAGATGCGACGAGGAAGGCAGAAGAGTTAGTTAATGCGGCTTCAACCAGGGTGCAGGCTGCGGCACGTGGGCGACTGGTCCGTCGCGAGAAGGATCTGGTGAAGAAGAGCCCCTCGACCTGGGTTCGGGTGTTTAGGTTGATTTCGCAATGGACCCTAAGCCCCAAAAATTCTGAATACCCTTCGCCACGAACCACAAAAACCCGTATAAACCGTTAGGTTGATTTCGCAATGGACCCTAGGCCCCAAAAGTTCTGAATGCCCTTCACCACTACAACAACCCTTGTAGATCGAAGGCTCTCAAGTGCATGCATGAATCAGACTCCTTGTGGGCCAGATTGCGACCCCAGCAAAGCATGAGTGCCTCCAAGGTTGAGGGTTCGCGGACTACCCTAACCTACCCATAGGCCCCATGGTAGTTCCTTGTTGGGTCTCACATTTAGAATCCTGTAAGGTAATCCCAAAAAGGAACTACTATGGGGCCTATGGGGAAACCCTATCGGTTTAGGGTTTAGGGTTTGGGCTTACGGTTTATACTTGGAGGGTCGGGGGACTTAGTAAATGGTTATTTTATAGACTTATAAGTACTATAACCCCAATTAGGGTCCTTTTAGGGTACTTATAAGTCTACTTATTACCTACTTACTAAGTCTCCCGACCCTGCAAGTATGGACTCTAAACCCTAAACCCTAAACCCCTAAACCCCTAAACCCAGAGCTTTGTCCGAAAGGCACAATCACACTTCAGCGGGCCCTCCGTCGGCTGAAGCACCGGAGACAAGGCTTTAGGGTTTAGGGTTTAGGGTTTTAGGGTTTAGGGTTTAGGGTTTAGGCTTAGGAACCCCAAAAAGGACATAAGCATAAGCATGTTATAGGGATATCTCACCTTTGTGGGCTTCATTATAAGGGGTTCCTGTCCTAATTTTTGCTTATGTGCTTCTTTGGGGCCCTAAACCCTAAACCCCTAAACCCCTAGACCCTAAACCCTCTCCTAGTTTTTGCTTATGTGCTTTTTTTCTGTGCCCCTGAAGGCAAGAAGCTCGACTTTTCTGTGGTGGTCGCGGCCGCCACGGAACAGCGAAAGGAATGGGCCATGGAGTCCCTGGGGATGATTTTTAGAGGGAGTTGGGCTTATAGGGTTTTAGGGAGTTTAGGGTTTAGGGAGTTTAGGGGTTTACGGGTTTAGGGTTTAGGGCTTAGGGTTTTAGGGGTTTCGGGTTTAGGGGTTTAAGGCTTCAAGTGTTTTTTGACCGCAACCCGTTGGGCTTATAGGGTTTTAGGGCTTAGAGTTTAGGGTTTCGGGTTTAGGGGTTCAGGGGGTTTAGGGCTTGAAACGTCTTTGGAGCTCAACCGTCGGAGAGCCCATGGAATCGGTGTCCGAAGTTCTGCTATGTCTTACCATGGTTATGGGTTTAGGGTTTAGGGCTTTTGGGGTTTAGGGTTTTTAGGGTTTTTAGGGTTTGGGATTTTTAGTTTTTGGGGTTTAGGGTGTTATTTCGGCCCATAGTTGTGCAACATGACCTCTGTAGAGGCTTCGCGTATGGGTACCTCCCAACTCCCTTTACCCTAAGCTGACGTGGCTATTCAGGCCCCTGGCCTCCATAGTATCCACAGCGATATTTTGGGCTGGGCTTAGAGGGCTTAGGGCTTTCATGCGCTTTACGGTTCTGGTGGGTTGCCGCCTTTCCTTTTTAAGCTTTAGGATAAGACTTGTAAGACTTGAAACCTATATGGTCCTTATAATAAGGATCCCACTA